GTCTAAAATTTTGACGCACTTTAAGCGTGAAGAAGAGTGCAACTAAGAAGAAAGCCATATATATATGTACTACATGACATTCTTATATATTATGACGTCATCTTGTTGCTTTATGTGCAAATTACTCATAGTAACTGGTTGAAGGAAAGCGTGCAAAGGAAATGGTCAGGTTATCTAGAACGTTACTGAAAGGTCTTGGTTTTTTTTAACCTATGTTATAGCCACCACGTACTTGTATATGTGTCAAGCACATCTGTTTAATCTTCTAGAAAAGGTTGATAAGTACTTGACCTTTTAAACATGGAATAGCCGCTTACACCGAATTTCTTCACGTGCTTGAAAAGACCAATTGTTTGCAGTTATTTCTTCCGTTATACGACCGTGACTGGATGTTTCTGGTTTTACAGGTTTTACAGGCTTCATCTTGGTCAAAACTGTGTGAGATTTGCCTCGATGTGTTGAAGATCCTAAGTATGTTTTAATCAGAGATCATTTCAGGATACTGGTAAAAGTAAGTTCGGTGTAATAGCCATTCCGCTTTTAAAACGGCAATTGCATAATCACTAATGGGATTAACTGACAAACGGCTAAAATTTTTACCGGCTCTTTATTAATGGGAAATTAAATCTGTTCTCGTTACCTTTGGAATGTGATATTTGACAAACGGCCAAACGATTAACTGACAACAACCCCAGCTGAGAGATGACGTCATCGCTTTCACCCCTCTTCTCCTTCTGGACTCTAATCGTTTTGCGTAGGTAAGTTGATTATAAGGAAAAATGAACCGAGCTTTTCGGTATAGAAATCGATGCGACACAGAATTCTACTTGTTGCAAACCTCTGCACTTTCTGCTGTTTGGGGATCAAATCTCATGAGCTTCAACATTACTCAAAAAGCGTATGACCACCCTGCCTCCATCCATAATTCTGGTAATGTAGCAAGCTGCATGTTACTGTTGAATCAGGAGTTAACACGGATATGTAGCTGGAGTAGATTAAAACGAAGAAGCCTGAGAGAATTCCTATATAACAGCAAAGGGCCTACCCCTTTTCTTAAGAGTGTCATCGCTAAATCTCAGCAAAAGCTAACAAGTTCTTAAGCACACCTACCCAAAACATGCACAAATAATAAAATCCATTGTGTTTTTAGCTACCCACTTAATTAAGCGTAATAATTTAATCACCCAATTGGTTTTATCAAACTATGACCTTGGATTTAGCACAACCTCTGGATTCATATCTTATCTTACTGTTTGTTCTCGGAACGCCTTCTTACAGAAGCTAAATTGAATTGTAGTGCTACACCAAATAAAGCAGGAAGTTTTTCTGTTCCAGCCCTGATACAATTTTACTCCACCTTGATTTGACACAGACCAGTATACTTCGTTCCTTAAATTTTGTAATTTCACAGTTTCGCTTGGGCCAAACAATTGCTCGTGACATGTTTCATTCCCATAAGTCATGAAAGATCGTACAGGTTGGCCCATAATTTCTCTTAGATTGTTGATCTGGAATGCGTTTAGTAAGTCACAAATGGATTTCAACTTAGGCTGGAAATTTCGATGACCTCACAAATCATCGAAAACCAATGACCAATGGAAATGCTAGCCAGTACCAAAAGTCGTTAATACGTTACGGTTTACAACTGTTGTATCCAGCAAATCTACCCACGTGAGAGGGTCAAGGGGCTAAACACGAAAAGAGGATTCTCCCTGATTGTCTTCGAGTGGACATTTATTGTTTTGAATTATTTTTCCTCGAAGCCGCCAGACCCCGGCGATAAATTGATACAAAGCCGTTTCTTGTTGGGACGGGTACCATTTGGAATAGTACAAGAAGTCTTACAGCGTCACACTTTCTTTCATTTGTTACTCAGCTGAGATATATAAATTTCAGGCCTTGTTATAAATTAATAGTCTGCAGTTTCCAAGCTCAAAGAAAGCAAAGTGATATTGTGTGACCTCATAGAGATTCAAACAAAATCAATGCCACTATACAAATGGGCCATGTCTATGAACACACTACTGTACCAATTCATCGTCACACAATAAATCTCAAGTGTTCTACGGTCTGCTTTATGTAATTAACCAAGGGGCCTGGAATGGAATTCAGTGGAAAAGCTGATCAAAGGTCGAAGCGGTGGTCGGCATTTCGCAGTTATCTTATTCACTGTCTTATTTGATCTGCTAAAAACATCCGCTTTATTTGGCGGTGCATTTTAAAAATATTCCAATAATTAGACACAATATGGATTGGCGGTCATTAATTCCGTGAAATACGAAGTATTATCTCGCGGACAGCACGGTTTTTTTAATTTTTTCCTTAGCTCGAGATCAATTACGGAGGTATAAAGCACGATAAAATCTTCCTTCGGGAATCGCTACTTTGTGTTACTTCGCAACTGAGAGTTTTCAATGCAAAATTATATTTTCGTGTGACTTATCAATGCGGATTTGAACTGACGTGGAAAACTTAATCTTGTCACAGAGTTATAATTGCAGAACATTACACAAGAAACTGTGTCGAATTGTGTCGTTTGTCAGTTATTGTAAAAATAGCACAAATAATTAATATTCTTTGGGTTATCAATGCCCTTGCTTTTAGCTCAGAGTTCTTATCTTACATCTTAAAAATATCCAAAATCTTCTATGTAACTACCGTATCACAGTACAAATCAGGCACACAACATAACTGACAACGACAAGGGAACAGTGCCTTGACTGAGACAAAAAATCCCCAGGTGATGTAATTTAAAACTGAGAAATGTATAGAAGCCACTCGAGATAATTTGTATGCTGCATTGATATAGTAGTTGTGAAGTGGGACACGAAGGAAAGTGTTACGAAATATAAACAACGCAACGTGAATTTATAACACATGGATGTTAACGGGTTGGTGACGATAGATCACGTCAGATGAAAGTGGACTCCGGTTACTACTTACAGTAGAAACACACACTACAAATCAATCACTCTGCCCGGTGTTGAATTCCTGACCTTGAAAACACTTTATTTACGAACGCCGTCGAAAGGAGTTGAAACATCTGAACTGTTGAACAACTTCCACAAGTAAACTTTAAGTGAACAGTGTAAAGACATCAAATCGCCGCATTACCAGTATGCGCATCGACAGGAAAACGCGGTCGAGCGGCTCACTCAATTAAGAGAATCTCACCTAGGATTTGCGTTTGAAATCTGCGAGACTTTGGTTAAGTGGTTTTAAACATCAAACAACGTCGAAGTGGAGATGAGATCTTTACCATGCTCAGGATTTCAGGAATGACTTCGGGATCTCTTCAGGACAACGGAGCGCTGGAAAAAGGTTCGTGTCGTAACTGCCATTCCACCAAACTCTTGATCTTCGCACTTTTCGTGTTGTATGCTGTTTGTCAAGTTCAAATTCTCGTAAACAGAGAGGGGTCGGTGAATGTTGCAAATATTTTGCGCGAAATTCAACAGACCAGCCAACGCATTGCGGATATGGAATTGTCAATGATCAAGGTTGAGAGCACTCTGGATTTTCTTCTTGCCGAGTTGGGTGTGAAGCCGATTGCTCACAGCAGAGCGAAGCGGCAGAGTGGTTCTTCCATTCGTCAGGAGATGCGGCAGCTAAAGCGGTACTTGAAATATTTAGAGCGGAGGTATGACGTATTGTAATGTTTGTTTGAATCAGTCCTTTAGTTAATTCATCTAATTACGACGTAGTTGTTGTCTTTCGTTCTCGTAAACATCGACGATGCTGACACGGTGTTGAAGGCAAATGCACTCACTGCATACGGATCAAAGCGAGGGGGGTAAAATAAATCTCTGTTAAATGCCTGGTGATTAAGTCGATTTTGATTACTAGCTCAAAGAATGAAGTTTACTTTCGAGGACCTTTGAGCACGTTCTCTGTGCTTACATGCAAGGTTCAAAGATGATTACCCTTAGTCATAGCAGTGCCTTTTGATTACGGTATTTTCGGCCTCAGATCGGCTTGTTGACGTTCGTATGTTGCAATGTGCTTTCTCTAACACATGGCGCGAACAAGAATTTTAACATCTGCCACACATAAGCTGAAGAACACCCTCATGTGCTTGGAATTCCAAGTTGTTTTTCCCTCAGTTTTTATTTTCCACAAGCATACGATCGTTGCCGGGGAGCAAAATAAACACGAACTAGACAAGTTTCCATTTTATCTCCGAGTTCCAAAGCGAGCTTGTTGTTGAACGACCGCTGTCTGGTTTACAATGATAAACAAACTTAACCTTGTTTAATAAGGGGTGATACAAATAGAAGTAAAATGGATTACTTCAGTTGTCCATGATATGTCTGCAAGGTGAACAAACAATGTTCAGTCTTTTAAGCCGTTCTTGGGAGTATTAAACACACGTGGTATTTCGTATTGCGTTCGAATTACTTGGCGGGAAATGACAGAGTGTTTGTATCTATATTGATGGAATTGACTATGCAAGCAGTTCAATTTATACTCAAAATATTTACCTCCTTAGAAGAAGGAGTTTTTTTGACCACAAAGAATTACGCCTATGCTTCGATTTGTAGAGTAATCTTTTAGCTGCCCGAGAAGATAATCGGACTCTGTTTTAATGCTCGTTAGACCACCGGAAAGTTTGCGAAGGGCTAACTCCGTAAAAACGAACCGGTGTTGAGAGAACTCATTTAAAATAAATCCACTATCCAATTCAAACCACAATTGATTTTATCTCGAGCATATCTCCTCTCATCTTATTTGTCACGTTTAATTTCTAGTTTGTTGTTCAGTTTCGNCGAATAAGCGCCCCCCACCCCTCCCCCTATTTTGGAGACAGCAAAGGATGTATAGTTTTCGTCGTGTAGTATTAGATTTTTACATTGTTTAATTTGTGACCCCGTAGATTTCTAATGGTGCCGCGATTTAAACTTTAGGATCAGCTTTTTATGTCGATAAACAGCTTGTGCTTGTGCTTTGCACACCACAGCACAATTTACGTGCAGATGATGTATTGAAAAATGATCATGTCAGGCCACGATTCGGGAAAAATTAAATAAGCCCTCCCCCCCTCCAATAAGCGCCCCCCGTCTTCTCTGGGCGCTAATTCGAGGATTTACGGCCCAGTTTGCTATTGAATGAATAATCTTCCCACAGTTTGAATGGGCGATGAGATGTTTCCTAAATAACTTTTGGTAGACACACTATCAGTCAATACAGTTCTAATTTTATTCTAAGAATGCCGTCACTAAAAGTGTTTTAGCTACCCAAGTCTTTATTAAAAGAAGATTTGTAAAGGACGTCAAGGAAGTGCATTTTTCGGAGAACATATGCCACATACGCATGAAAGAAGTCGGCTCAGATTCAGTTTTCTGTAGTTTCTGATTGGTATTTTGTATATTAGAAAAAACAAAAAAACTTTAGGCCCCGCGGGACCACATTATTGACAAGTCAGTGGTCTTTGCTACGAAAACAGCGCGGTAAATTCTCCACATTTAAGTACTTTTCTCATATATACATAACAATCAGATATTGTGGTTCTCAGAATCTCGCATTAGTGTTAATTGTTTCCCGTCTTCAGGCAAATCAGCGATTTTGTTATTTTGTTTTATTATTTCATCTGAAAACTGCAATATAAATTTACCCAATTTCAGACGATTTTCATTAAACCAAGGGATTAAATACTGTTTAGTGAGCCATGCAAGTAGTAATTGTTTGCTATCTTTTCCATAATAGATGAAAAGACCGAAGGCGGAAACCAATTAAAACGTCTACTTGAGAGAATCAGCTGACTGTTTTGTGCTATTAGCGGCACTCTCTTTTGACCCTGCTTTCTTTTAAAAGACGACAATTTCCAATTACTCTTTCTTAGCTAAAGGTGATTAAAAGCCTTACAATTACCGAGTTTACACCAGTGGCAGCCTATTAACTCTACATTGACACGCAGTTAGTTCGGTCACGTTCCTCTCAGCACCTCTTATTCAGACCGAGGCTGCAGCTCAAGGCCCGTTCTCGTTTCAATCTAGCATCTTACGGTTGTTAAATGTAGCTTGTTTGCAATACCACCCGCCAAAAACGGAGAAATAAGCGACCACATCTCGAAAAAAACCTGCGTTGATTTATTATATTTAGACCGCGTCTGAGACCGCAAAGCAAACTTGATTGTGCATAGTGTACCGACAGAATTCATGAAAAAGGATTCACATCTATATAACTCGAAGGGAATATATTTTTCTTTTCTTTTTTCTACGTACTTCGTGGGAGAATTTTAGAAAATGGTTTCCTGTGCACGTCCTGAAGAGTTTTGCTGAAACTTTTCGGAAGTGAGATATATTTCAAAACAAAATAACCCGATCTTATCACGATTAGTTGTTTTCTATGATAAAAATCCAAACGATAAGCTGAAGATATCAAAAAAAACAACAACAAAAAACTAAGAAATTCCTTTTTGATTGATGAAAAGAAAGAGGATGTTCATTCACAATTTTTTTTAAGCCGTTAACATTTTTTTAAAATTCTATTGGGCATGTCACGTGGTATGACCCGTGCATTTAACATTATTACAACTATACAAGTTTGAATTTGGTTTTAATAATCGCTCGTCCTCAAATTTTAAACTTTCCATCAACAACATCTGGCAGGTTCTTTTAATTCTGCCGTCTCTCACTATATACGAGTTTATTTTGATTTGAAAACAGAAACTTTAACAACTTCATATCATTTGTTTACCGATTTAGCTGCTTATTGAGACTTGCGTACACAAACAGCATACCACAAGCAACGTTTAATGGACCCTTTCGCATGAAACGCTCCGTTGAAAGGTCGGCTTCTCGCTACAGGCGTTTATTTAACAATCCCATGCGTGATCATTTCGAAACATCACTTGATTCGCCGGAAAAGTTTATTAAAAGCAGGTGTGTGTGGAAACACAAGCGTGACTTGCAATCTTCATTTGCCAAGGACAGTACTAATGTGGCTTACAATTGGATCTTTTATCATCGAAATCGATCTTTCTTAGACAGCTTTTCTGTCCATTTACGCTCAGCCTACGAGCCTGGCTGTAAAATGTTCCGCTCTTCGCTAACCACGAATGTGGCTGGCGCGGAATGAATCATGTTGACCGGCAACGCGGCGTTTACAGACCCTACAGGATGTGATTGAGTGAGTTACAACAAAGATTAAGATGAAGACGGAAGAATCGAAGTTAAAGGCTCCCTTCACCAAGGAGATGTCGACTAATTCAGGGACGACATCTTCCAATTGCACTGTAAAAATGCCCATACTCGTTCACAGCAGTCCAAAACCACCAAAAAGGCCTTACGTGTATCATCAAGCAAAAGTTCCGAAACCAAAGCACATGCAGTCGAGTTGCACAAACATAAAAAATCCCTGGATAGTGCGGAGTGCTATTGGCTTTGTTGCGGTCGTTGTCATTGTAGTTTTTGCGTCTCTCCAAGGCAAAACCAGCGCGGAATTGGAAAACATCAAGAGCAAAGTCGTAGAGCTAGAAACTATGGTCGAATCTTTACGCAAGAATATTGTCGAATTGGAAACAAGGTAAGGCTTAGATGTGCCAAATAAATGCTGCCAGTTTTTGCAGGATGAAAAGTTTAGAAGAGAGAGCAATTCTTTGTATTTGTTTTAAAATAACCCCTTGTATTGAGCACGGTCTTAAGCATTACATCAAAAAGCAAACTTTTTGAGAATCATGACACAACAAAACTTAGTACATTCTGAAGATGAGTTAGAGCGCTTTTTGCTACGTCTAAATAAGTAAAAATGAGACGGCATTTTTACTCGTAATATAGCGCAATGAAGTCCGTTTATTGGTGAAAGTTATTTCTCACAGGGGGGCGTTCGAAGCATTTACATAGCACTACGGTTAGGCCTTTCCAATAAAAAATTATTTTCGTGCCATTTCGCACTTCGGATTAACTAAAGTAGTAATTTGTTCCCTTGTTCCATTTGCTAAAAGTCATTGGATTAATCATGTTTTATATAGAAAACACCTGAGAAAACGAGCTTAGGGAGGTTTTATTCACGAGTCGAGGTTTTGTGGTTGTGTTTAAGAGTTGTATGATCTTCGTTCAAATATACCAATCGACCGAGTTGTTTTACGGCAGCCTCAGCGGGATTTGAAGCCATTTTGTGAGTTAATAGCTCAGCGAAGGACTTGCTTTATAAACACCTCTTACAAATCCAGGCGCTCTGGCGACTTTTTTTATATTTTTCGAACGCGCTAAAGGACTCCTATGCGGTTACCGTTTCTCTCTACTACCTGTCTATTAATGAAAGTTTTATGACTTCATCAGTCGTTTTATGTGATTTCCCAAACACATCTAATTGTAAACTGAAATCTATGAAAGGAACAAGAGATTTTAGATTGCGAGGCGTCAAAAATAGACTTGTGGTTTTCTGTTATTTAATTCTCTGTCCAAATCTGTTTTAGCTCTCCCTCATAGGAAGATATCAAGAAATGGAGAAAAAGTCTTAAGAGTCTTTAAGATATTTTTTTCTTTATTCTTAAAACCTATCATTTTTAATTAAACCTTTTAGCTCCTCCTAAAATTCGTCAGTTTCTGTTCTGGGGCCATGAAAGAAACCAAAATCACGGTAAACATGTACTGCAATTAATCACGACCTTTTATTGTGTTTAGTTATTATTCGCAACACACAGCTCATTGAGCAAATAGACCATGTTCAGGCAGGTGTTTCTAACAACCTAAAACTTCCAAATTACTCAAAATCTCGTAACTAAGTGACTCGTTTGTAATTTAAATTATTGATTTCTTTCAGAGTGCGTACGAGATCATTTCCGACGCTGAAAATGTTACATATTATTTCTGCGGGGTTATAGAACAAAGTTGTTTTGTTGACTTCATCTTTTTATTTCGCAATTTGTCGCCGGATGGAATTTAGATGGAGTATCGAAGTCGCATTAAGACTATCGTTAATGCTTCAGAAGTATGTTTACAAAGCAACATGGCTTGAATAACTTAACTTTTGCTAACGACTTTGCAACTAAGTAGCGCGTTCGTGCTTTCAAAGAAAAATACAAGAAAAACGCAACCCAGAAAGAACTAGAACTTTTTCGAAAATGTAAGAAGAACGGCCAGGTTTTCGTCAAAACAGGAAATACAATTTTTCGTCGTGTCTAGTACAAGGCGGTAGGGGGGGAAAACATGAGAAACAGATCTCTTCTAATAGATTTCTAAGGTTAAGAATTACTTTTCTGGTAAAAATAAGGAGCAATGATAATTTTGACCAAGGGGAACTGAAATATTAAACACTTAGAAATCATCTTATTTTATTTAGTCTAAAGACAAAATACGAACCCGACTTAACCTTCTAAACAGGCACTTCAAGTTCTACTTTTGTTATAATTAATTCTGATCTCTAAGCTCTGCTCTTTAGATATGCCATTTAATTTCGTGAAGTGTCTGGGATGGGCAACTCAACCATAATCCCAGAGTTATTCATTTGTTGGGGAAATTGTTAACAGGTGAAAAAAAAAAATGTCAGTTCAATTGAATAGTTAATTTGACAAAAGCATGAAGTGAAAACAAGAGAAAATGAAGAGTAAGACCCACCATCTAGACTTTGCTCTAAGGTAATCCATCCTGAGTTAATTTTAGATCATTTGCGACTTCAGAAATCCCAGGAGAGTCTAGAAATAGCCAATCCTTTGACGATGATTTTGCTCCCCAGGACAGTCCAAACGACTTTACACGCATTTCTTCGTCCACGAAGGCATCCACGTAACGCGCGTGACAACATTATTCGCAGGCGATTGCGAGTTTGGTTGTTCTGGGATCGAGTGAACTGTCCGTGATATAAAGGTTGCCCTACTGTAGGAGAGTCCGTAAGAGTAGGTTCGACTGTATATGGAGATACGGAAAGGAAATGTTTAATGAGATCATAAATGTTAATTTATTTTTGGAGCCTTGTGTCTGAAAGGCCAGTGTGTAACTTTTGGCTTCTGAAGCACTAAGCGACCGCCTTGGAATATTGGATATCGGACGTTACCTCCTTGTGTTTTGTCAGTCTGGTCTAACAATTACACATGTCGTTGTGAAGCGAGGGCCGCCGGATGAAAATAAAGTGGCTTAACCAGGGACACCACATAATGACCCAAGTCAGTGCTCGAAACAGTCACTTAACTTACTAACGATCACATCTTAATCAACCGACAGTTTGTGGCGTCGGTCGCCAGTCGTGTTGTAGTCAATTGATAACTTGACTTGTCGCTCTTGTATTTCTTTTAGAATTCAATGTGTTATGTCAGACAACGGGACTGATGGCAGGGGAAAGCCGTGTTCCGGCGGCACGGGAGGTAAGTCTATATTCCTCGGGTATGGAGACACTGAACAAACCAACCGCATTTGTACTCACACACATCGATCATATAGAAATGACGTCATAAAGTGGTCAAAGTGGATGTCCGGGTGTATCTTACCGCAGAACACTCCCCATTGAAATGCTTATCTGCATATTCAGGGTATTCTGCAGAAACTCCATAAAAAATATTCTGCGCACGCACTTGTTTGCTGATACAAGTGATTTTATTTTGAAACAGGGAAAACAGGATATTTAAAGAACAGGCAAAAAGAGGACAGAACGAGTTCCACAAGTAAACCGACGGAAAAACCAACGAAAAGCAGGGGATCAAAGCAAACGGGCGGTACAGCTAATTCCCAAATCTCGAGTCAAACAAGTTCCAGGACTACAAAGCGAAGCAGAAGTACTGTGTATACGTACTGGGGAAGCTCAAAGTGTTCAACAGGTGAAGATGAAATAGTAAAAACTGTTTATTCAGGTGAGTTTGACATTTGTTCATAGCGCCTGCTCATGGAAAACACCCCGTAAATCTCATTTCAGGCTCTTATCGAAACAAAGCAAAAGTAACATGGCGTCATAGTGCGATATTCCAGTCGAGTTCTTCTTCATTTGATTTATCGGTTTTTAGGCTGATTTGTCTTGTAAAGAGATTTTACAGTCCTGGCAATAATTGTTGGGCCTCTCTCTCCATCTCTCTTTCAATGTTCAACTTGGTAAGAGACTTTGTATCTCGACATTCAGAGGGACGGTAGGAGCGACCAAAAGTAGACACCCATCTATACCATGCCATACAGTGTAGAACATATATACAGCCAATCAGAACACAGAAAAGCCGTTGTGTATTCGATGGTATTACATACAGCCTTTCTGTCATACGCCGCGCGTATGTCGCATTGATTGTGCTGACCGCTGTATTTTCTATGGCATGGTAAAANAAGTCATTTTATTTTGAAACAGGGAAAACAGGATATTTAAAGAACAGGCAAAAAGAGGATAGAACAAGTTCCACAAGTAAAACGAAGGAAAAACCGACAAAAAGCAGGGGATCAAAGCAAACTGGCCGTACAGCTAACTCCCAAATCTCGAGTCAAACAAGTTCCAGGACTACAAAGCGAAGCAGAAGTACGATGTATATGTACTGGGGAAGCTCAAAGTGTCCAACAGGAGGCGATGAAATAGAAAAAAACAGTTTATTCAGGTGAGTTTGACATCTTGCTTACAGCGCCTGCTCATTGAAATCACCCTGTAAATCTCATTCTAGGCTCTTATCGAAACAAAGCAAAGGTGACATGGCGTCATAGTGCGATATTCCAGTCGAGTTCTTCTTCATTTATCGGTTTTTAGGCTGGTTTGTCGTGTAAAGAGATTTTACAACCCTGGCAATAATTGTTGGGCCTCTCTCTCCATCCCTCTTTCAATGTTCAACTTTCAATGTTCAACTCAAGCGAGTTTGTATCTCGACATTCAGAGGGACGCGAGAAGCGACCAAAAGGAGAAACCCATTTATACCATGCCATAGAAAATACAGCCAATCAGAATACAGAAAAGCCGTTGTGTATTCGATGGTACTACACACAGCCTTTCTGTCATGCGTCGCGCGTATGTCGCATCAATTGATTGTGCTGACCACTGTATTTTCTATGGCATGGTATAAAATAGTTATGCAACGCTCTCTCGTGGTATACCATGGAATATCTCTAAGTTATTTTGTTATTTCTCCATTTCATTTAGGCAGAATGGCGTCTTTGCATTCCCGCTCCAATCCCGCCGTTGGCTCAGGTTATCTGTGTGTTCCCGACCGCTTTGAATATACGGATAACAAAAACGTGACTAGCGGACTTCACTTATCGTGAAACTTCCTCAGATTGCAAAATAACCGTATTGAGATTGTTTTTCGAAACTCAAGGTATCCAGGGAGAGCACAAATAATAACAGTATATCTACATGTATTCTTACTGGTCATCACTGCAGTGGGTCTGTATGATCAATATTCTTCTCACTCGATTGAGACCAAACGTACTTGTTAGCCTCAGACTGGTTCACTGAATGGTCAATATTGAATGTGTGTTATGAAAAAAATATATATAGTATACGTACAGCGCTTTTAAAGTTAACTTTGCAAGTTCAGTTGCTAAGTTCCGTTTGTTGGTTTGGATTTAGCAGTGTGAGATGGTACCAAAAATTACACTTAAGGTGCTCTGTGGAGTTTTAAAAAAATAATTCCCCACGTTTTTCGTCTACAGGCTTTTTACTGAACTT